CATTTGGCCTCTGTTTACAGGCCTTCTTGATCGAAGTTTTTTTGTCGTGTAGTGCAGCAGTGTGAGCTATATAATAGTCGAGTAGAAAAAATAAAAGCGATTTCTATGTGTCATACAGGCTTTGTCTTCTATGACGGCTTTTAGAGAAAAAAAGTGGCGATTAAAATCGCATTCAAAAGATCGCGTCCTGCTTCTGATAAGATTTCTTTGCAGAAAGAGGTCAGTATAAGCGTAGTTTCCGAGTTCTTACGGCAGATACGAGTTGCTTTTCCAAAGCACCCTGATGCTGCAACCACACTTGTCCGCAATTTCTTAGAATTTGTAGGTGAAACGAAAGAAACATTCGCGTTTGGCTTTATTGTTTCATTGCTGAATTCCCTGTTTGATGATTAAAGACACGCGTCGAACTAAGCACAGAGCTTCCGCTACCCTCTGACAGCGTAACCGTTCCGTTTTGCCGTTCGTCTACCGATATTACCGTCCCCTTGCTCGTTCATCTGCATATCTTATTCCGTTCTCTCGTTTGCCTCTCGGATGTTATCCGCCCACCGTTCGTATGCCGTTGTTACCGTTTCGTTTTCCCGCTCATCTGTCGATGTTGCCGTTCTGTTACCTCGTCCTTCTGTCATTGTTGCCGTCCCATCTGCTTCTTCGCCTGTGCCGTTGTCCCCGTTCCATTCCCTTTCTGACCCCTCGACTGCCGTTCTCAGTTCCAGAACCGTGCCGGCTGGCTGTGGAGGATGGCCAAGGGACACCGACTGGTGGCCCTGCAGACCAAGGACGCCGATAAACGCAAGGCAGAGCTCTACAAAGGTAACTGGAGAGACTTATCATGCGCTGACGTCATGTTGACGCCGAACATATGCCACGTATGAACATATTTTGTTGACGACTCAGTCAAACCCATCTCGTATGGAGCGTTTTCATGCAAAAACAAACTTCTTTCTCGCACTTTTCCATCTCATTCATGAGTTGCAATCATTTCTCGACTCATCAGGCAAGTGTGATACGATTCGGCTACTTTTATCGCCATTTTGAATTGCCCTCGTTTCAGCACATTATTAACCATAGGGCCATGCTGAGCACTTCTATCGCTGCCCCAGGGTCTGACCGATGCCTGCCCCGTTTTTCCGCAGCTATCGCGTTCGCCGAACGTGCCCTGGCCAAGAAGCCGAGCGCCGAGGCCCACAAGTGGTATGGCGTCTCGGTGGGAGCGAGGTCAGAGTTTGGCACCGTCCAGGAGAAAATCAAGGACGGTTTCACGTTCAAGGAGCACATCGACAAGGCGGTCAAACTGAACCCCAAGGACCCGGTCCTGCACCACCTGCTCGGCAGGTTCAACTATGAGGTCAGTATCGGGAACTTGGAGTTGGATGTGGAGGAAATGTGCTAATCTACGTCACGATCTACACCATTGTCATCACTCAGCGTCTATATCCAGCCCAAATCAATGGCCTGTCGCCTGCTCCCTGTTTCGAGGTCTCATCCCTGCCTAATGACGCCCTCCCTTGCCGCTAGATGTCAGCCCCTTCGCTGCCTCCATCCACGTCCGCTAGATGTCAGCCCCTCCGCTACCTCCCGCTCTCGCCGATAGGTGTCAGCCCCTCCGCTACCTCCCGCTCTCGCCGATAGGTGTCGGGCCTGTCGTGGATAGAGCGGCGGGCTGCAGCGGCGCTGTTCGGCTCCGTACCTCAGTCCACCACAGAGGAGGCTCTCCAGTGTCTCCTGAAGGCAGAGGAGCTGTCCAAGAAACCATGGCTGGAGAACCGATACATTATCGCGCGGTAAGCCGGGATATCGACTTATCGAGGGGCATTAGATTAGAGACATTTCGTTTTTCTCACAGACAATGACAATACAAAAACAATGTAATAAGACCAGACGTTTCGACAACAAAGTGCCTTCGTCAGTGGAAAACAAGATATAGACTTTATATTTTTTATCGATGTTAACCCTCGCCCATGTAGGGGGGGGGGTTGGTGCAACCCCCCCTGAGGTTTTTCGGAAATAGTGCAAAAACGGCGGCGCGCAGCGCCGCCAAATTTTGGGTACCTTATGGGGCAAACCTTGCGCATCTTTTGATAAAAAAAATTTGACCGGGTCATGTCAGGTCACGGAGTTATGACGTCACAAAGGGAACAGCCTCCGGCCGGATTTTCACAAACTGAGTGCCAACGCCCGAGGTTTCCTGCCGGTGGTACGGACATCGGTTGATGGATCGTGATGAAACTTCCCATGCATATTGGGGCAAGTATTGGCTATCATATGGTGTAAGAAACTTGACCGGGTCAGGTCAGGTCACGGAGCTATGACGTCACAAGAGGAACAGCGTCCGGTACTATTTTTGAAAAGCGCCCGAACCACTATTTTGCTAATTCTTGTCACCTCAATGGGAATATGCAGCAATATTAGCTTCTATATGGAGCAAATGGACATCCCAAATCCAAAAATACAATCAGATTTCAAAAATTTAAATTTTGATTTTTCGAATTTCTGCCGCCGACTGTGACCTTGCCGACTTCCGGCGCTCCCAACGCGCCATTTTTAGAGCTAGGGAAACGAAATACATACCAAACGATAGAGAATTGATCAAGGAACACGATAGTGAAGGTTTCAAGTCGATATCTCCCACCGTTTTGCCGCAATCGCCGCGGAAAATTTGAAAAAGTCTATTTTTCCGAAAATTTGACCTTTGACCGGTCAAAAGTAGGTCAAATGTTGACCTAGGACCAAAAAAATATACCACCAATCGCGAGATCTCGGCGAGAGCAATCCGTTGGTCTTTTCCGCTAAGCTCTACGACGCTCCGTTTTCAAACGCCAAGGGGGGGGGGTCGCACCAACCCCCCCCCCTGCATGGGCGAAGGTGGCAGATCGCCGTTTACGGGCGAGGGTTAAGTCTATATCTTGTTTTCCACTGACGAAGGCACTTTGTTGTCGAAACGTCTGGTCTTATTACGTTGTTTTTGTATTGTCATTGTCTGTGAGAAAAATCGAGGGGCATCATGGGTGTTCGATGCATAGGAGTTCCATGCACCGAACTCCTTAGGGGCTCGTCACCAAACGTGAATGTACCGGGTGTGATTGAGCTCCGTTCCGTCGTTTCCATCCTCAGGATACTGAAATCCTTCTCCTCCACGCCACAAACCTCTCCAGGCTGGACAGTTATCCGATGCGGGCTGCTCCCTTGGCGCGGCACCGCTGCTCCCGAGGGAGCGCACCCCGTAGCCGGGTGCAGCGAGTACTTTGGGGTTGGGTGGCCTGTCCTTGGACGGGCTCAGCCCCGGTGACTCGCTAGGGTGCCTGCCCAGACCAATGTCTTCCCCTATATCCTATCATCCTCCCGGCTCTGAAATGGCCTAATTGGACCGAAAGGGCCTAACCCAACAAAACAAAACCTTGGAAACGTGAAAGTCACCCCATTCCGTGCTTCTATCCTCAGGATACTGAAATCCTTCTCCTCCACGCCGCAACCCCTTCCGGGCTGGACAGGCAACTTTATCTCATGCGGGCTGCTGCTCCCTTGGAGCGGCACCGCTGCTCCGGAGGGAGCGCACCCCGTAGCCGGGTGCAGTGACAGTGAGTACCTTGGGGCTGGTCGGCCTGTCTTTCGGGACGGGCTCAGCCCCGGTGACTCACTAGGGTGTCTGCCCAGACCAATGTCTTCCCCTAATTCCTATCATCCTTCCGGCTCTGAAATAGTCTTGTCAGACCGAAAGGGCCTCACCCAACAAAACAAACAAAGAGTGCTATTGGGAGGCAGTCGTTTTTCTCTGCTTGCTTACAGAGTCGGTACGACGACGTTATAGCCACACTCTATGGTAATGACGACCCTCTTCATCCACAGGTGTTACATCGACGATAAAAAGTACAAAGACGCCATCAAGTGGATTGACAAGGCGGTGAAATGCGCGGTGACTTCAGAACTGGTGAGTGGACGTAGCTTCTCAACCCTGTCAAAGTCGACGATCATTGGGCTCAGTTTGGAAATGGATTACGTTTCTGTCCTGCAATGGATGTGGGCGAGCTGGCAGTTGAACGTGTAAATCAGTTTAACATGTACGCAACCTGCCGTGTCTGAATCAACGGCGGGCTTTCTCCAATGTCCATCACTTTTAAGCTATGTATTAGGTTCAGATACTTTAATATCTGAGTACTATTATCTTTTTTCAGGACGATGCAATAATCAAGGAAGTGAAAACGCTACAGGCCAAGTACGGCTCATACCGAGCATGATTCCCATCTGCTCGCCTTAGTTCACCCACTGCTGTCAGCGAACTCCAATCGGGGGAGCAGCGCTCCGGTTCTGCCTTGGCGTGGTGATGTTCAGCCATCAGAACCACGAGAGGTTAGTTAGGTGGAGAGGAGCAGAGCCTAGCGGATGCCGAACGAACACGAAGGTACCGTACGTTAGTGGTTGAGCACGACTGGGCAGGTCTCTCAACATTGGTAGAAATATTGTTATGGCTGCTTCTACACTGCCTTGAGGTCCCCGATGACAATATGAGGGTCTATTGACTGAAAATTGTTTATTCGAGCTTAATAGAATGTAGACTTTTTAATGTTTGTGCTTCAATCCAAATATTGACCGGATTTCGCAAAGGTCTGAGCGATACGTGATATGCCATTATTCCAGTGTTATTCCAGTGATATTTGTTGCGATTTTGTGTACGCCGCCACTGCTTCGTCATTAACTGTTCAGATCTAGTGCATACATCATTATATAGTCACAACGAACAATATTTTCGAAATGAAAACGTAACTGAAACTCAGCGTTTTTATCGATGGCGAGTTTATCGTTAGTCCAGAACAGCCAAACAAAAACAAGCCCTGAGAAGTGAATAGCACACGTAGACAGCAAACCATATCCTCCCACCACTCTTTCTTTCAGGGTAGATTCAAATCCCGCTGGACTGTTGAAACATTTTTCTGCAACCATGCCCAAACTATCCTGCGTCAAATTACCAGCCCGACAACTCTCCTAACGAACAAACATGCCGCATCGACCACATGAACTGTATTCGCCATTAAGAACATCGCTTATGTACACATCTCGGAGTGGGATTGACACGGCCGAACGCCGGCCAACGGCTACTCAGAATCTCATTCGCACCGGACGTCGTACAATCAAGGTTCAGCCTACCACCCCCCTCCCCGCACGCACTTTGAGCCCGCTCCCCCTCAGGACACATTCCCCTTCAGACACCGTGGCAGCCCCTTAGAAGACACACATTCACGTTCGCAGACATGAGAACGGCGGCGGCCCTGTGTCCCGCATACGCAGCCGCCGACAGAGTTGAAAACGCGGCGAGAATCGGCTACATCACGTCAGAAACGGGGGAATTATTTATGAGAAAAAAGGCAATCCGAGGTCGGGACGGTATTCAGCTCACATGGTAGAGGGTTTGTTTGATTACATTAAATTTAGCTAACACAACGAACATTTCTTGAATGACTGCCTTCACTCCCTCACACAAGTTCGGTACTTTTATTTTGAAGTGATGGATAAACACAGTCGTGGTGTGGCCGATTCTGGCGCTAGTTTTCATCTCAGCACCCCCAGGCCGACTAGTTGGCTCTACATCTTAGCGCAGCGACGCTGGCGACACTAATGTATATGTATACTGGAAAACATCGGCGTACAAAACGCGACCCTCGAGCGGCCCTTCGAGCCGCGCTCCAAGGAAAGCGCGGGGCTGGGCCGGGCGGCCAATCACAGCCGTCCTGAGAGCGCTCGCCGCACCCGATTGGCCGAGAGCCGGCCGGTGGGCGGCGCATAAGGACGGGAACCAAGGAGAACTTCTCGACAATGCCGTACACAAAATGAAAAAGGTGAACGATAAAACACAGATCTAAACGGGGCAGCGGCGGCGGCTGAGGCCGCCGCTACTGCTGGAGAACGCCTCATCCCGGCGGCGGTGACGTCACCTCACATATGACGTCACCTAGACAACTGTCTGACGTCATGGTCACTCTCAGTCTTGTCGGGCTTCCTCACATCACTGCCCGCTGGGTTAACGTCAGTTGGTCGGTGTGATGCCATCACACGTCTTGTGAGGTCACTGTATCTGGGCTATATGACGTGTCTTGCGACGGCCGGCTGGAGGCCCTGACGTCGCTTTGAAGTCACTCTGACGTCATCTAGACGGCCGAGTCTTTGGCGGCATCCAGCTGCGCCTTGTCAATTTTCAGAGGCTCATCCTCGCTGGCGTCACCGGCCCCGCTGGAACACCGACACAGCGTGTTACTATACGATCATAGGAGGTGTTAAGACACAGTCACAAGGGTGATACACCGACACAAGGTGTTACTATACAATCATAGGGGGTGTTATACCGACAAAGGTGTTACGACACAGTCACAGGGAGTGTGGCACCAACACAGGGAGGTACTACACAGTCACAGAGACTGCTACACCGCCAGATGGTGTCAAGACAGTCCAGAGTGTTACAGTCACCATTGGTGTAACACCGACACAGGGTGTTACTATACAATCATAGGGGGGTGTTACATCGAAAGAAGGTGTCAGACCATGGTTATACAAGATGTAACACCGGCACAGGGGTGTTACGACAGTCATAGAAGGTGTTACACCCACAAGGGGTGTTACGGCAGTCACAGAGGCTATTACACAGGCATAATGTCAGAGAGCCGCAGAGGGCGTAACAACATGTGTCAGACAGTCACGGGGATCGACACAGCCACAGAGGGCATTAGCTTGGCAGAGTCAGGTGCAGCACGACACGGGAGCGTATTTACGCTTGTGTGAAAGTACACGGAATGAAACAACGAAAACAAAGGTCACATGATCGCGTTCTTCTCACATAATACTACATGGAGTTGCATCTACTTCTAGGAAGCGTTTCGTGCTTTAGTTAGTGCGTTTGGTGGTGATGGGGAGCGAAGGTTGTCACAGATTATTTCCAGACACGATTGGCGACGTGTACTGTGTGCGAACCACGATCGATCACAGCAAGTGAGGAGCGACATTCGTAGACAGCGCACGGCTTTTTACATTTCTGTGCAAGGTAAAACGCCAGACAAGTGCTACTGGGTAGGTGAGCGGAAGATGACAGTTCATTCTCATTTGTGGTGAAGTGTGATGGAGTGGGGCTACACAATTGAGTAACGGGCGGAAGCATTTAAAATAAAAATAAACTGCGTAATTTTCTTTCAACTTGCTACATCATTATAAAGCCGGTCACTAGGATACAAGTGAAAGATCAATTCAAGCATCTCCAGCATCTGTGAAAGGCACTACGGTACAAAACGAACATAGGGTTTATCGTGGTTTCTGCTACGGCCTTTGATAATCGGTGAAACTGAGGTGAAAAGGCAGGACGTAGGCTCATACCACGCTCAAATAATGTGATATAGTCGCGATAGCCAACATAAGACCCCAACAGCGCGCACCACCTAAAGCTTATGAGAAATGCAGGTGATAAAGGAAATAAAGTGCAGTCGCAGGCTGAGAAAGATGGCGCCGCTTCGTCGCATGCCGGTTCAGTGGCGCCACCTATAACACCAAAACTTACCGGTGGCGCCGTCTACACACTGGTCTGCTTCGGCAGCCGTATCACCCTGCCCGGAGGCGACACAGGCAGCAGAGAACGAGAGAGCGAAGATAAAGTGAGAGAAGAAAGAGAGAAGGGCGACAGATAGCGCCGCGAGACATCACGACACAAACTTTCGATCGCAACACTCGACGTTCCTGTATCCTTCACATCTCAGCAGACTAGTCGGTGGAATGGGGCTGTGATGGGGGACCGTGGACCCAGCACCGGCACCAGGCCCTCCCTCCACCTCTCTGGGGTTCGGACAGCACACAGCCCAGCCACCTACCGTTCACCGTTGGCCTCTGGCGGCGGCGGAGAGCTCTTGTTGCCGTTACCGTTCTCCTGGAGAGGCTCCTTCTCACTGAAACGGGCGAGCGGCGACCGTGAAACGATGCTCGGGGTGGACGTTGACCACCTAACATTCTTTCTGTTATTTGTTATCCTGTTAGGTCCTTGCTGTTATTTGCCAATGTGAAGTTTGCACCAAACCAAAAGTTACAGCAACAATAGCACTGACAAATAAGTCAACCACTCAGTAAAGCAGCTTTTTGTGTAAAGTAGCATTCATACTCAATCACGAAACTACACCACTTCGTTGTTTAATGTTTTCACCATCTGTTTACCTCAGAAGAAGAAACAAAGACCCGTATCACCTTAAGAGTAGACCGTCTCCAAACCCAGCCTATCTCTCACCTGGCTGCCTCCTCCGTGAGTTTGGCGACGTCGGATGAGCCGCGCGCACGCGAGCACAGCATGTGCGTGATGCCGCGCTTGTTGACGGCGTAGCAGGTCAGGTCACAGAGTATGACCAGCGCGAGAAGAACGGCGATGACGACGCCGACCACCAGACTGGAGGAGCGGCTGACCGGCGCCGCCGCCGCCTCCTGGGCCACACCTGAGCGAGAGACAGAGATAACGGAAATGGTTAGATGGGAGACTGTACACGGTCAGACGGGACACGTGAGCTGTGGGACGAGACGAGACGACATAATACTCGTCAGACGAGACGGCATCTCGTCTTGGTCTAGCCAGAGAGGCACTTACTTTAGAAAAGAGGTGGACAAAAGCTCATCTTTGCTATTGAATTATTTGAGTCACTTGATAACATTTGATAATGCAAATTTCATGCATGATACATCTCAGGCTTTCGCCCACTGCTTTTAAACATGCAATAAATTATTTACATGGTCAGGCTTGAAAAAAAGTTTGATATTTGCTTCAATCTGTGACGGCGACTTCAAGCGGAGCTCAACACACCTTCCAAATAACAACTCGTCCGGACTTTCTCGGAGTGGTAGTGGGGCGGGATGGCAAAGACTCACAAACAAGGTGTGGTGATGAACACACGGAAATGCAAACTTAAAAGCACTGTAGTTTAGTTTCATGAGCGTCTAACGCCTCGTTAGATACTGCAATAGATAATTAACATGGAGGAACAAAAAGCTAGCATCAATAATCAGTTACGTGCAAGTCGTCGAAGGGAAACTGCACCACGGTACAGTGCGCATGGGAAGTAGATAAACAAGATTAAACTTCAAACACACAGCGGAGAAGCGACAACATTAAATCACACCTTTCGCGCTCAATGCGTAAACAATACGATAAGTAAAACGCAACAATAAGAAGTTATTGATGCCTGGCGAAGTCGAATGTTCAGCGGAATTAAACCATGTTTTATATACGTTCATCTTTTCGACTCGCGTCGCGACGCCTTAAATCTAAGTAAACTAAGGCTGCTGTGCTACCTAAATCGGTAATCAAACACACGAATACGAACTACAAACGTGCTTCAAACTACATCAACGGTCACACTGCCACCAAAACGTCTACAAACCATGCGCAGGTCGACGGAAGCTACAAACGTTCTCTACAAACAGTGCGCCCCAGAGCTTCAAATATCAAAAGCTACACAAATTAAACATCTCCATTCGTTTTCAATCTAGTCCAATACAAGGTCGTGGACGGCAGCACGCACTAACAACATCCAGACAAGGGTTCAGAAAGTACATTCAACACTCGGCCGCATCGTGCCAGCCTTCATACAGGTTACATCGACGCTACGGGTGCCATGCATCCCATTTACCTGGCCAGCCCGCCTGGCGCCGCCGCCTGCCGCCTCAGTCCGCCTTCCGCCCGCCTCCGGAAGGCGGGCCAGGCGCCGCCTCTCGGCCTCTACCCGGTAGCTCTCAGCACTCCCCGACGGCTAGTATCGGCTCAGGCAGAGCGAGAGGCTGGCAACGGCAGGCTATCGCTCGCGGAAACCCCTCCCGAGCAGAGCGAGAGAGGGAGAAAAGAGAGAGGGGGAGCACACCACGGGAGAGAGGGGCAGATCGAGCGAGTCACATCGGCACCGCACAGACACAGCGACAGGAGAGAGGGAAGAGCGACCAGGCAGAGTGGGGGAGCAGGGCACCACGATGCACGATATCAGTTCGACTACTGGCTCACTCCAGGCTGGCACTAGAGTACTCGAATCACGCGGAATGCCCAGCACTACAGTACCGCACAGCGCCCACCACTAAAGCACTCGCGCACTGCCCAGCCCTACCGCATACAGGCGCTTGGCAGATTACGCAGAACATTCGCACAGCAGTGCTAGTCGGCAGATTTGAAATTCCACTCAGCGTTCAAGTCACTGTTCTCACGTTGTTTCATGATTTTGTTCCACGATCATAATCTCGCAAAGCGTCCAGCTGTATCTATGAAGATCGTACTACCTTCAAACTACATTCTCCTGTCTTCCCTGGAGTCCACACCCTTATAGTCTTATCATTGCATTCCCACTTTCGCACCAGGCTCTTCCAAGTGGGAAGCACCCGTCATCATAACGCCCAACCCGCGATCACCCGTACATACGCTCGAAATCTCGCGATACAGGAAGACATAAGTGTATAACATCCCACAACATCTAAGCTAGATCCGTTCCCTTTCGTACCACTTTCCAATTGAATAGCCTAATCATTTGGACACGATACAGGCCACAACACCCAGCCTTGGGTAAGAAATAGGAACCACCGCAAGCTAAGCAAATCATTCCCACTTTAGAGGGTAGCCACGCTGCTTGGAAATGCCGCCCTATTTCGGGAACTGCAGCAATTAAATACGGAATATGGAATCTGAGCTGTCCTAAATCCCTGTCACCCTACACAAAGTCGTATCGGTGTACGGAAACTGCGCACACTGTATATAGAAATGCCACGGCGAAATGAACACATGGAGGTCACCACTGCGTCCGTCACCAATAGGAGTATCTATGATCCAGCAGGCACCGACGTCAAATGTAACCACAGGCACCAGGCAGCAGCAGCTCCAGACTTCTATCATCTTTGGCGATTCTCTTCTCTTGCCGTTGACTAATCACACAGATTTTCCAGGCCACACATTGGAATGCTTCGCAATGCTACACTTCAAGCGCTGAACCACCCACATTAAGCATCATAAGCGGCCGAGGCTAGATAACGCCGTCTCAGCACTGCCGAGGCCTGGTGCGACACTAGCGCCGCGGTGCGGCCGGCGCGGGAATCACAGGTGGACGGGAAGGAATAGCAATAACAGAGCGACAGCAGAAGCTGCAGTGGGTACAACCTGGCCAGAACCGCTGGTGGAGGCCGAGAATTTACCTGCGGGGCGGGGCGGGGCGTCAGAACACTGAGTTCTGGGCGCCACGCGCTGGACGGGCGGCATTGAGTTCAAACGAGCACTTTGACGAGCTACGTGGCACCCAAGTCGCTTATTGCTCACTGCCAATGGAGGTAACTTGGTCCGTTTGTGATGAGTTCTAGGCGTTCAGGGGCATTTAAATTTGAGAAAACTTCAAACTCCGGCAATGAAGCGGACAAGATCACACCCCGTTCCCTAAATGAGTACACAACTCCACCACACCCAATATGCTCACCACCCTTTCCACCATTTCCTTTCACCAGAACACTCCACCATTAACCGAGCACCTCTCCGCGCGCTCCAAACCCACCTTCGGCAGTGTGGATGATGACCTGGGCGGGCTGGCTGTAGCCGATCTCGTTGTGTGCGCGCACCTCCAGCCGGTAGTAGCTGTCCGGCTTCAGACCGGTGAGACGGAACGCCGGCGAGCCGGGCATCTCCACAACGGAGGTCCGCCGCGGCGCAGAGGACACCACCTGCCACTTCTTCTTAAAGTAGATCAGCTGTGACACACGAGTGGGGAATGCAGGGTAAGGACCTGGTCTCACATATCAACCGAGTGTTCAGACATGACATTGCCGTTCCGGTTACCTGGCATGCTTAATACAGAGTCGTTGTACTCGGAACCGCCATCAAATTCATCTCATGAAACATCTCAAATCAAGCTGAATTCACAGCCAACATCATACTCGTCTTGCTTACCACCTCAAGATTAAGTTGGGTTCAACTTCACATCCACCCATCGCTGCCTAATACGATTCACGATTCATCACATCACACTGAATCGTAGCCACCAACATCACCACGGCGTCAGTTCTCCCCAGTCCTTCCCACCATCACTAATCGAGCTACCTGTCCACCCAGCGCTCCTGGTGCCCTCACCTTGCGGAAGGTGACCTGGTAGTTGTCGATGTCTGCCCCGTTGTCGGCGCCGGCCGTCCATCGGGCCTGGTACGAGTCGGACTCGTCCGAGGTGATGACCACGTCTGGGCCGGCGCCGGCCGCCACCACGGGCTTACCGTCGGCCGCTGGAATAGGGCAGACGGGTACAGGTTAGGTAGTGGGGTACCTGGAGGAACACAGGCTTACCCCCGACCGTTGGGAACGAGACATAGGGCACGGGTTACCAGCAGCATATTAATTTTGAGTTACATAACTGACTTCGGTAGAGAACACATTGTAAATGTGTAGACACTACCAGTCCCTCAAATCTCCTCTTATAATTCCCCGACCCAGCCAAACGCCATCATCAGCCACTCTTACTCAGAATTGAGTGAGTTCCCAGCACAGTTCAGCTCCGAGTTCAGCTCGGAGCTGAGTTCCCCATTGAGTTCCCTCGTATCAGCCACTCACAGACGAGAGTGGGCGGCTGCGGCACGTCCACTTTGGGCATCTGCTGCTCCAGCTGCTCCGACCAGTCGCCCGCCCCGACCTCGTTCTCTGCGGCGAACCTGGAACATAGGCAGGGGCAAACGAGTGAGATAGATCCTCCAACCAGTCGCCGGGACCGACCTCCTCAGCGGCGAGCATGGAGAACAAAGACAGGGGCACATCCGTAAGTAGCGCACGAGCTGAATTTTCGTAACTGACCGTCACAAGCCGTCTTAGTTTCTAGTCCTAAATATCAGTCAACGTAAATTTACTGTAGCGTCATCAAAGCATAAATCCAGCGTGATCAAATAGAACCGTCCGTCCGTCAGCATGCCTACCCATCTGATTGTACATACAATCCTCTAGCTATCGACCCATTCTCACCTGAACAGGTAGGTCTGTTTGGGCAACAGCTCCTCCACCTTGAAATCTCCGTCCGCAGGCCACTCTCGGGTCAGCGCAGCGTCCCACTGCTGTTCCTTCTGGACGTACTGCACCAGATAGGTGTGCACGGGCAGGCCGCCGTCGCTCTCAGGAGGAGGGAGCGAGAACTCCAGAGTCGTGGATGTGATGGCCTGTCGGAGAGAGTGGAGGGAGGGTTAGATAGAGAGGGGAGTGCCTGTTGGAGAGAGAGGGAGCGAGGGTTAAAGTAAGGACAAAAAGAACTCCAGAGCTGTCGTGGAGGTGAAGGCCTGTCAGAGAGATGGAAGGTTAAATAGGGAAAGAGAGAGAGAGAGAGAGAGAGAGAGAGAGAGAGAGAGAGAGAGAGAGAGAGAGAGAGAGAGAGAGAGAGAGAGAGAGAGAGAGAGAGAGAGAGAGCTACAGAGTCGCGGAGGTGGTAGCCTAGCCTTTTGGGAAGAGTGGAGGGAGAGTCATATATGAGTAAGCAGAGAGATCAACTCCGCAGGGTTGTGGTGATGATCTGCAAGAAAGGAAAGGGAAAGTAAATATGAGAGAGGAAGGGGAGCTGGATCAAAACACACCGCAAAGAGCCAGTACTGGATCTTAGCGCTGGTCTTAGACAGTTTTTCACAAGCAAATACGATTGCCCTCCTCGTCACAAGTCGCTAAACATATGTTAAGTCCTTCACCCCAGTGTGCCCTCTGACCTGTACGGCAGCTCCGAAGATCAGTCCCGGCGCCGTGGCCTCGCGCAGAGTAAAGTCCAGTGTGGCCGAGCCCTGGGAGTTGGACGCCGAGCACTGGTATACGCCAAAGTAGCCCGCGTCCACTGGGGTCACCTGAGGGGGGGGGGAAAGGGACGGTCAGAAGAGGTGATACTTGAGACAAGTGAGAAAAGCTGCGACGTTCGTACCAACACTGAAGCTAGAACACGGCGGGTCGATCGCCCATTCACCGAGATGTAGCACAATCGGATGTTAGTTGAAGATTCATGTACTGTGTTTTACTTGACAAGCGATGGCAGCGTTCAGCAATAGCGTGAAATCGTTCACCTATGTCGCTTTTCCAAGTATGCGTGCTTGTGACCAAAACACCTCCCTTCACCTAGCAAAGAACCATCGTCCAGTGACCCAGTCCCCTCCTCCATCTTACTCCTCTCCTCCTCTCCCCTCCTCTCTCCTCACCGTCAGAACGGACGTCTCTCCCTCCATCCTCTGCTCCATATGGACGTCCTCCTCCGGCCTCCGTCCTCCGAACGACCAGCCGACCTCCGCGCGTGGCTCGGCCTCCACCCCGCACCCCAGCTCGGCGGGGTGTCCGGCCCAGGTGAACACCTCGGCGGTCTCCGGGGCGGTCAGCACGGGCTGGTACTGGACGGTCAGTCGGGCCGGCGCAGAGATCTGGCCGCCAGAGTTGGAGGCGACGCAGTCGTAGGTGCCCGAGTCGGCACGGGTGATGTCACGGATGGACAGCTCGCCGACCTGCCGAAGGGGGGGGGGGAGTCAGAGTTAGAGGGATAAGTTAGAGCGATAGAGGGGTCGGTTAGAGCGAGGGATATCAGACACAGCGAGAGAGAAGTGCAATCATCAGTTACCTACTACTTCAGCTTTAATCATCAGTTACCACTAATTAAGCTTACTTTCATCCTTCGCCAACATCCAGGACAACCATTCCCTTCCTCCTTCAGAAAAGGTCGGCTCAGCCCAGACTCCAACTCATCGACTAAACGAAAAACACGGGGACATAAACAACAGCAGGGCGAGCTGAGAATCCTATAATGGGTCTCTTATCTCGACAATGCAGAGCCAGACTTTTAATAAAGACTCAGAGCAGTGCAACGCAGATGAGGAATGCCGCTAGATAGTAAAAATTAGAGGATTCACGCATCACATACGGATAATTGTTTTATTATACAAGACGGCAACGCTGAAATAAAGGTTTTTACGACTTGCTACCGAGCCGCCAACGCAATATTGCGTGCAAACATCTCCAGTTCTTATCAGGTGGCAGCCATTAGCAGAAGCAATTATTTGATAATTATCTCCTAATGAGACGTCAAACCGGCGCACGCACCGGCTAAATCGTGAAATGATGGAGTCGAGAATACAGGACGCCTGAACGTTTTATCCCCCAAATCTAAATCCAGTCTGTTCGGTTCGCTTGAATCATCTTTTCCTGCTTCCGCACTCTTCCTATTTACGATCTCTACCTATGTACAGTCCACAGCAGAAGTAATGTGTGGTTTCAGTCATGGGTATGTTCTGCTTCTGAAGCCTAGGAACGATTAGCCAGACTGCAACGAGACTTTAAAGTAGCTTACATGTATCTTCACCCTTGCAGCTACAACTTTATCTATTGACGTCTTCTTTTCAATCAGTCCGCATTTAAAAATCGTCGGTCAAAGCCATCCGTTGAGATTGGTAAAACCACACATTACTTTAGCGGTGGGCTGTACTTCCGCACCTTCCGGTCTTTTTCTCCCTCCTCTCTCTCTCTCTCTCTCTCTCTCTCTCTCTCTCTCTCTCTCTCTCTCTCTCTCTCTCTCTCTCTCTCTCTCTCTCTCTCTCTCTCTCTCTCTCTCTCTCTCTCTCTCCCTCCCTCCCTCCCTCCCTCCCTCCCTCCCTCCCTCTTCTCTCTCCGTACCTGTTCGTCGCCTTCCTGAGTCTGCCGCACCATCACACGGTCGTCCACCGGGATCACATCCTTCTCGTAGACAATGTCCGTGCCCGTCTTACGGAAGGACACGGTAGGCGGGGGTGAGCCCGTCACTCGGCATACCAGTGTGGCCGACTGGCCGTCAGCAAAGGTGACGTTCTCGTACCTGGGATGGGGGGGGGGGGCGAGGTCAAGATAGGTCAAGTGAAGTTCAATGAACGAGGCATTGCAAGGTTGGGTTAATAATGGATCCTGGTTTTTAAGATGAACACCATTCGAATGATATCACCATGATGCACCACGAGGAAAACGCACTTAAAACGCTCGTTTCTATATTGGATTAGGCATTATCATGAAACAATAGACTAGGTCTCGCTCATGACTGGTACGGCCTTCATATGCAGTTATAGCGCGTTACATCGAGTGAACGGAGGATTCGCGCGGCTATCGAAACAACTGAAGTGCCACAAACACTGCTAAAATGCAATAGCAATCCTACGACTGGGGCTGTAAGCGAATGACAAACGTGTTCCTGCCCTGACAAACAATCACACATCGAATGCAGCGCTTTTCTGGGCTCGTAACGTTCCAACCCGAAGAAATTACACCGCAATAAACACAGCTGGACTCCAATTAACAGTCTATGCATGAGGCCATATATTTGGCGACAGGCGGCCCAGAAAGCCAGACCTGGACCTGCGCAAGCTAATGAAACATTGCTGAATGGTATTACTGTCAGCGACAAACAGCGGGGTTCGGATGTGTGCTCGGGTTGATGAATAACGCGAATACAGGAGGGGGCTCCAGAAACAAATGACGAAGCCAAAAACAAACGGATTACTAACGGATTAACGTTACATTTATTACAAAGGGATAATTACTGCCGTGCAGCTAGAAAGCATGAACAATAAAACTAAGGGCCACGGAAATGAAACTGACTATTCACAAATCCTCATACGCGAAAAACCGTCAGTTTGGGATTCCATAGTCGCTAGTGGTTTGTTTTGGGAAAGAATTCAACGAGACTAGCCAGCATAACAAAAAAAAGATAATTTGGACAAAGAGTATCTTTCGATCAGTCTCCCCATCTCCCAGCCTGCCTCCTGAACCTGCGCCTCTGCCCCGCCTCAACACCGACACAAATTTCTACAACTGGCCCCAAACTACACATCCGCTTCAGCGCCGGCCCCCACCTAGCTCCACCTGATCCCCTTCCTCCCGCACTCACCGTACGATCTCTGGCCGCACGATGACCACCACATTGACGGTCGTTTCCACGGAGGCCACCTGGTTCTTGGCCTCACACCGGTACTGGCCGGCCATGCTGCGGTCGGCAGGTAGGAAGCTCAGGGTGCCATCCCCATCCACACGCAGCCCGGGCACCTCCGCGGCGCTGGTGCCCGACGGACCGAACCAGGTCCGCTCCGGCTCCGGTTTGCCAGTGGCCTGACACCGGATGCTGCCCTCCTGGGACTCGATGATCTCGACCTCGGAGTCGCGCACGGGTAGAGTGATCTCGGGACGGGAGTAGACCTGCCGGGAGAGAGGGAGAGAGTGGTCACCAAAGGGGCAGAGTTGACGAAAAGAGGATATAAAGGAGGAAGAGTGGATGTGCAGTACGCCTGAATCAAAGAGGCCGAGGCATCAAAGGTGTTCGATAATGCACGCTAAGAGCAAAACAAAATATGCGGTGACAACTAGCAAAATCTTTTGTGATCGATGCAAGCATTTCTTCTGAGTCGTTAAACGATTCATTATGTACAACCTTTATTGGCATATCGTGCCTTAATGGACGCACGGAAGCACTGCGCCGGCATTCCTGGCGGGAGTGTGTTCCGTGCGATGACGACAGCAGTTGACACGCAACATACCATGGAGTTGTAAGATATCACGGTCACGCAACCGACAACATCCATCATTGATGGATGCATATTGCATGGTAATGTTCGCTTACTTCTTTGAGTGGCTCGATTGTGACGCTGATGGACAGCTACCGCACCATTCGGCACTTTTTTTTCTGTAACTGGGTAATCACGGCATCGAATTTATTCATTCTTAACAAGTCTAGAGTGGACACAGCGTTGCGTAATGAACGCCTGCTAGCGCCTAGTCATCAGAGTAACTCCTGCCAAACCGAACACCGTAAAACTCTACGACTACCTGAACAAGTCCGGCCCAAACTTCCTCTGCCGACTGGCCGGTCAGCCGAGCCGGCCCGACTGTATAGTTAGGTCAGCTAACAGACCCACTAGTCCTCCCACTGGAGCTATATCAGGCTCACGCTGACAGGGGGTGGGACAGCGGGGATGGAGGGTTCCAGACAGCTCCAGAGCTCTCCAGACCGATCGACTATCGGGCGCCCGTGCTTGGCCGAGTCGCGGAAAACTCTGACAAATGACGTCGTATATCGACTTCGCAATAAAAGACGCAGCCACTGCAGGGTAATATATCTGGCGCTCGGAATTGTAAATATAGAAATATCAGTGGTATATGGCCGAAAATGCAGACAGCGCTGTCTTATGAGAGGCTTAAAAATTGTTTAAAGTGATAACACGTCATACATACTTGATACTACACTCTGGATCTAGCGACGATCGGAAGTCTCGTGGTTATGTTTTTTTTTGGGGGGGGGGCTATGGCCTTGTTAGATTCTCACATTGATGTTTTAAGAATCCTAAGATGCAAATGTCCGGGCATCTTACACCGCGGTTTCAGTAATTGCGTATCGCAAACTACCCTTATGTAAGTACTACAAACACGTTGTTTTGGTCGCAAAGAATGTTTAGCAAAAGAAAAACCAGCAGGTGCCTTAGAGTCAGATAAGTCCAGTAGCGCAATCTATCAACCCTAAAAATAATCAAATTTCGAATAATATCGTTATTTTATCAGTTATGCCTGCCGTCTTTCTATCTGCTCCCACTTTGATCACGGCCTCAGCGTTATGGCCTCACATGTTTCTCTGCGACTTTTTTCTCCCGGGGATCGGCCGTCAGTCTCAGCTGCGTCTGAGCTGCCCCCCCCCCTCAGCCAGCTGCCCCTCCCCACAGTGGGGGATCCTCAGCCAATCGATGGCCGAGCGGCTGAGCCAGACGACCTTCCCAGGCCATCGCCAGCGGCAATCAATGCACCGCCCCGTGACCCCGCCCCTGCGCCTCAGGGGGTGGACGTGACCGGCCGGAGGAGGGGGGGGGGGGAGGGGAGAAGGAAGAAGGTCGACAGAAAGGGCATATGTGGGGAGGACAATAATTAATAGTTTGATGGATGAGGAAATGACTTTCAATGGTTCTGTTATGAAAGTGAGGCTCACGACAGTTTTTGGCTGATAGGTAATAGCGTTGGACGTTTGCGAAAGGTCAAATTTCAGCTGTGTATACTGTAGGTAAAAGATGAACGCAAGTGCATTTCGCTGTAAACCATAAAGGCTCAATGAAATAAATGTCACCGTTTCATATTGGAGAAATGCAAGTCGTGTGCACGATTCGGGTACTATCACAAAATGCCTTTTGGTTATCGTTAGCACTACCAATAAATTTCTTCCACACAACTTCCACCTTACTTCAACTTAGCAACCAACATTCAGAAAACTTTTGACATTTACTGACAGCCTAATTACAGTCCTGGCGCAGCTGCGAAGTCAGAAAGCTTGTCGACGCGCGAGTGTTGTGATTTTTCGTCGCGACGGTTTGACGGCCCACGACGCGACGCTAAACCTGACGCAATGTCTCAGCCAAACAGGGCGGGTCGGCGCGCCGGTGGTGCTTACCTCGACTTTGATGCGTCGTTCGGACATCTCTCCCTCGGCGGGCACCTTGGCCCGGCACAGAAACTCGCCATCATCAGCCGAGGTGATGTTCTCGATGTACAGCAGGCCCGAGTCCAGAGGGGTGTACCTGAGATCAGGGAGAAGAGGTGCGTTAGATGGTTATATAAGTGCAAGTGCTCGCAGATCTTATGGAAAGGCACAGGGTTGGGCCACTATTTCTGACATTTCCTCTGTGCTTGTATATGTATAGTAGGCAGTAGCCGAGAAAGCTACATCCTGTTATGTGAAGCAGATCAAAAGGCCAACAGTTCAACAGTCAACAGTGTTCGGATATTTCTGTGAATCAGAGACAGCTCAGCCACAACACGGGAAGCATCATGAGTAACGATACCCGGCATGACGCATACTTAAATCGTCGTTCATAAGGAGAGACCGAGACGAGCGCTCAGGTTTGAGATGACCGCTTGAACGACTCAGACACTCATCAAACATCCTCATCTCTCAAACTGTCTTATAGTTTCCGAAATTAAGACCCAATCCTTCCCCAGAGTTTCACCGGAAGTGTACCACGAAAACCGACCCTGCAGAACCAACAGCGTCCGAAAAGGGTCACCGATCAACTCTGTTGGCTCCGAGAACACCCGGGATCGCCTTTCAGCCCGACGGCCTAGCATTTTCCGACGGGTGGTCTAGGGGCTTTCCCATGAACTGAAGGGTCGTCCACGGAAAATAAACTGCTGGATCGGGCGGAGGCTGTCAGGGGGCTACTGCCGGGGACGCTATCCGGGGTATGTTGAGGAGTCATCCCAGTGAACAGCGGACCGGCCGCTAAGTCGTCCGACCGCCCGTGACGATCGCTCAGACGGGATGACTGTTTGAGAGCTACTGACTCATGACGTCAATGTCGAAAGGCTTACAAATGATGTAGCGCAAAATAAATTTGAAACAAAACATAAGCAAGAACTAGGAACTTCATAGCGTAGCATCAGCAACGATTTCCAAGACGCAATCGGGAATACAAAAGAAAAAGCAAACCAGCATCAAGCTATCAGCATTCAGCCATGACTATCATTAGATCTGCACACCATAATACAATCATCATCGCAATCATACACTAGTTTTCCCTAGATCTGGACACTGTCACCACAGCTGTTACGCGCCGACGTCGCTCGTTTCCATAATTCCCGCAGCTGTGCTTCCGTACGGACATAAGTGGGAGGACGTGTGGTTGTTTACCAAAACCTTTGATGAGGTGCAGACACTCGGTGGTGATCTAGCAAGCTGAAAGTGGCAACGACTGGGCAATGCGTAAGTACTAGGTACATAAACACGCATTCGTAAACGCGAACTCGTGAAGTCATTCCAGGTACTTTCTTACAATTCCACACATCCACAAAATCAAACTCGCTGGAACTTAATCGCAGAGTAGCAACTCCTAAACACCAAAGAGGCTGATTCATTCAACCTACGGATCACCTTGGTATGATTCTATTTGGATGCCCCCCCCCCCCTCATTTCTCCCAGAGGCAAATATCAGGGTTGTTCCCGGCGCGACAGACCCATAACATCCGGTGACTGATCTGTCAGGTGTGAAATCGCCCCTCCCTCGCCACGACTAGCGGTATCCGCTTCTGACCACACAACAGTCCCGAATTTGACAATTTTGGTACACTCACACGCAAATTAGGCCAATTTGGAGCGTTCCTTCCCGAAGGCAGCAAACCGTATGGAACGGCACATATATATTTCGCCGAGAGCATGCGCAAATGGAGAAATAGCAACAGGTCTGCGATATTGATAATTGATCGTCATGTAACTCGTGTTTTGTAAAAACTCTTGCCTATATAATCCATGGAGTTCAACCTTGTCATATGAGAATGATCATTACAATCGTTTATCCATAAGAAATTTTGCCTTACATGATCAAGAAAGATCACAGCCCATTCCCTGATTGATCGTGGTTAGCCATCTACGCAAGTAACAAGCCGACCCGTCTAATAAAACCGTCATCTCGTTCCCCCTATTCAACTATGCTGGACCCTAGGCCCACTCAAATCCTGCTCAGACGGCCGGTATACACGCGATTCGGTGACCCCTCTCACGGCGGCCGGAACACGCGTGACCCCAGCGTGACCCCGACCGGTCAAAGGTGTCTCCCAGCGGCTCTCAGCGCGGGATCCGCGGCTTTTAAAGGAGACGGTGATGTTAGGGAAAGGACGTCATGTTCCCACAATATCGGATGATGGTAACTTTATAGCTGGTGTTCAAAAACTTTCTAGAGACGTGCTCATTTCATGGACGACCCAGATTCTCCAAGTGTTCCGTCTATGGCGTTTAAAGTCCTCGCCAGATATTAGGAGCGAGCTTGCCATGGGACACCAGGTAGGTTCCCTCAGGTTTCTGACCTGTGCTTAAGTCACTGACCTATCCTAGGGTCATTCGCCTATCCTAGGGTCACTGACCTGTCCGTTTTCCGGATGAAGTCTCCGTTTCCGTCGAGCCATTCGACGATGGCCGGCGGGTTGGCCTTGACCAGACACTTGATGGTGGCCCGGGTGCCCGCGAAGGGGTTCTGCTCCTCCGGCGCGTCCACCCAGCGGATCTTCACTGGAAAACACAGAGTAGAATCGTCAACTCGTGCTCAACCGCCAAGCCTACTCACGAACAGCGGGCGTAAGAAACGTACACAAGTTGAAATGAGTAGGCCGTACACGCTTCAGTTATCACATCTAATTGCATCTGTGAGGGAAAGAAACCTACAAGGCTATCGTTCGTAACCCCCAAACCCTCACAGCCAACACCTGACCGTTAGTTCCAACGATTGCCAATAGATGGCAGCACGGGTCCCGGTACCACAGGAACCACGACACGCCGTCACCGCACGACTGTTTCGAACGACCGCCGCACAGTGTGTCCGCTCGCCGAAACGACCCATCCGCCGAAATTTCACGCAAACAGGCTGTAAAGCGCCAGTGGCGCTGTCGGAAGCCGGCGCCATCAATTTGGGAGCGTACCGCAAAACGGCCGCCTGTGTTACCGACTTCCGGGGAGGCACATTATTCTCAACCGGGGATGCTATTACAGCACACAGCGAGCAACAAAAAAGGACAGGTCATGCTCGGAAACCTTGTTTATCGGCAACACGGTGCCAGTTATTGTACAGGGGGGGGGGGGGGGATTATCGTAAGTAAAATAACGGTGCGCATGAACATGAAGGTAAGCGTTTCATTCAAAGATCAGTGAGTTTTGAAGCAAGTAATTCCTGTCAGCATACACCAGTGCTCCTTTAAAACATTGATAGGGCTTTTTATAAATTCTCGTGTCGAGTCAGCGCCCGTCAGCCGAGCAGTCCACCATCGCTGTCACCCATACCACGACTATCGCTTGACCATCGATTTCCAGTCGAACACTGTCAGCCATCTGACCGCTGCCCCCATCTAACCACCGCCATCTAACCAGCCACTCCATCTAACCGCTCCGTCTGACCGCTGGCCGCCGCTCCGCCATCCATCGCTCCAAATCTGACCGGGCCGCTGGCAATCAGTCACAGAGCAGCGCTGACCCCCGGTTCCCAGCAACCGATCAGCCGGGGATCGGTCTTTGGTCGGTCTCTTAGCCGGGCACCGCCGATATTGAAGGCAGTGTAAGCTACCGGCGATCGGTAAATGTGGTAAGCCGTAGAGAAAGGTCTAAAAAAATCAATAGAAAGCTTTAGAAGGGTTATTCATAACATACGAGGACAGCAGCCAGCGATAGCAGTAAGTTAGACGACGAAGGCGATCACTGAAAAATAACGTGTTGGCAGACGCCAAGGAAACGGGAAGAGGCAATACAATGCCCAAATACCCACCACACATGTACTTACATTTGTAAAGAACACAAAGAGGATGTCAAAATGCCTCCCAGGCCAATACATTCAACATTGGTTTTCCCTACACACGCACACATGATGTTTCCAGCGACCAGTTCCAGCGCTGTTCAAACACCCTCCAATCGTGTGTGTGTAACCAGTGTCCCGGTCCTATCTTGTTTTTGTCACCTGGCCGGTGCGAGGCAATATCCACGCAGCGATTAGATTCGCGACACGGCGAGCCAACTGATATTTCCTGGGCGGGCGGCACGCTTCCTGTGTAGATACCGGACCGTTTCCGCACGGTACCGACAAACACAGGGCGGACTAACGGGGCCAGAGGCACGACCGACGTCCGAGAGGTAGGAGTCGGTCGGGATTTGGTCACTGGTCACGCCCTAGGTGTGAGACTCGAGACAAGGTGTAAAGGGCGACTCTCATCCAGGTTAGTACTGGAAAGCTAGGGTAATATCTCAGCTAACAGCATAACCCAGCGCAAACAACAACTAGCAAGAAACAGAATGACACTCTCTAGCCATCTCCGAGGCAGTTAAATTCGAAGAAGAACGGCCCCAAGGGTGCACCTTAACTTTCGTCCAAGCTACTTAACTTGCAACAAACAGTTCGCTGCCAAGGCCAGTAGTAAACACACAGACTCACTCGCAGGGGGCCACGGTTACGGCAGTACCGGAACAAAGCCAAGCATTATCAACAAACAAACGGTGTGTTAATAGCGACAACTGAAGGATCACATCGCTGCTTGAAGATGAGAGAGAGAGAGAGAGAGAGAGAGAGAGAGAGAGAGAGAGAGAGAGAGAGAGAGAGAGAGAGAGAGAGAGAGAGAGAGAGCGAGAGAGAGAGAGAGCGAGAGCGAGAGCGAGAGCGAGAGAGAGAGAGAGAGAGAGAGAGAGAGAGAGAGAGAGAGAGAGAGAGAGAGAGAGAGAGAGAGAGAGAGAGAGAGAGAGAGAGAGAGAGGTGGCTGGGCCATAACTACGTCCGTAAGTCAATAAATTGATTCAAATCAAGACACAAAAAAACGAAATTTCATAAAATTCGACAATCCGGTGATCAGTCCATCCGTTTCGAAGCGTATAATCCATAACACCATCATACGCTCCACGGCCACCAATAAATGGGTCCTCATGTTCCCCGAATCCCCGTCCTAATCACCACTCCAATAAACCCACGGGAGGCGGAGAGAGGGGGTAGAGGGGGAGAGGAAGGGAGGGAGGGCAGGCGGGCGGCGAGGGGTCCAATCATCTTCCCAACCCTCTCAGTGTGAAGGGAGCACCGAACGGCCACAGACGCACCGCCCGGGTGTTGTTGTTTGGCACTCTGTTTCCTCCACACACCCTAACAAGACGGGTTGGAAGCGGAGGATCGCACCCATCCCACCCCCTCACGGCCAATCCCGCCTCTTCTGTGTTACTCAACAACGAAACATGCGCCCGGTCAGTGACTGCTAGTCACGGTCACCAAAACACACCCACACCTCTAGGTCAAAGACCGGCAGAAGCGGCTCGTCCCGCCGCCAGAGACAACTGTCCATCGTGTGTGGCCCGACAGGTCACGACATAGACGTCACGGTGAGTTATGTGTGTTACCGGGAGCTTGCTACACAGTGCAGGGCGTTGCACGAGTGGTGTTCTAGTCAGAGGGCGTCGCTGACACTGTGACAAGGCCCAAACGGGCGACGGCGGAGGGAGGAGGGGTTTAACGGCTCAATTTTGGACAAAGGTATAGAGGGATAAGACGTATGAGGAGGTTCTGTCACCGAGACTATCAGAAACTGCAATAAAACGAAATATGTTTTATGTATGATGAAGACGCAGGGCATGACAGTTCAAACGGCTTCGCAAAGGGCGTGTGCGAGAAATAAATTGCAGGATTTGGCAAAGTGAAATATGAAAGGGGTACTTCTTTATCAATACGAGAACCTCAGGTGTCCTAACCCATGATATCAAAACCTTCACCCCGTTTTGAAAGGCGTCATTCTACATGCAAAATGCTACCTCTTTATTATTTAGTCAACAGTCTTTGTGTTCATTATTGTTTATCCTCATTGGTATTTTCGCTCCGCATATTCCATTTAAACGTCTTTTGCAGCTGATGTGACAGCTCTAAAAAAAAAAAACATTTCCGAAAAGAGGCTTTTGCTCTCTTCTGAAAACACTACACGCATATATTTCAGGCGGGCTGGAAAATCAGAATTTCCAGCTCCCGGTCCGTACGGTTTCTCGCCTTCCTTTCCTCCCTCTTTCCGCTTTTCTCCGCGGCCCGGCCGGCGCCCCTCTGGACATGACGCCTCCGGGCCTTTTCCTAATGGATCGGCTGGCTGCGTGCATAATTGATCGCCCTCGGTCCGGGGGAGAGGGGAGGAGGAGGACACGGCACAGACACCGGCCCACACTGACACACACAGATAACCGAGTTACGCGGTGTCACAGAGAAACACCGTAACTCTTGTCAGAGTGATAAAGAACGTGTGTTTGGTGGTGAGAAGCTTCGGTGGTGACTGCCGACAGGGTAGGACCCTGTCGTGAAATCCTTTTGGAAAAGTTACAGCTGATAGTCGAACCACTGATGCATCGTTCATTGAAGGATGCGTTTACGCACGCATCATTAAAACCTAGGATTAACCTAAAAGCATAGTCTCAACTTTATCAACTTCACAGCGAAACACAATGCTCACGAGGTCTATAAATCACTCTTCTCCCCTTAGTTTACCAAATCATATCGCCAGATACGATCAGCGGGACGCGGGGTACTTGAAAAGGCAATGATTATAAACACTCATATAGCATCAACCAGCGTCAAACACTAGCTCTGCCGCAAATGGAAACTGGACGGGCGGGCGGCTCCCTTTTCGCAGATTTCGAGGGTGATGTATGATGATAGAGTAAAACGGCCCGGGGGCCCGGCTATAAAGACCGACCGCGTGTGGGGAGAACAAAACCGGCTGCTTCAGCCGCCCCGGCAGTCGATTGTTTGGAGGGATTTACGGCGGCCAAAACCACAGCTGTTGTGGACGGGAGAACACCAAACGTGCATTATAATATATTCTCACCAAAGCGTGATAGGGAAGAATGAACTGGCGGTGATTGATACGAAATGAAGCCGAGGGAAAGATTTGTTGGGGGTTTCACACGAATCCAATAATCATCGACTGACGCAATTATAGGCGCGATACCCTGCTACCTTTTGCAAGTAAAATATTTACCCGTTATAGTAACTAATTGTTAATTTGTTTTCTGTCCAATCCCAAACTCCACTGATGTGAACTGTCAACAAGTGAAACGGCCAAACAAATGTCAAAGGCGCCGAATTCGCATTGATTAAAGACGAGGCAAAGTTCAATTCGTCTTAACTTCGGCAAAGTTCAGGTAACTTTCAGGCGAGCACCCGACATGAAGACAGTTTCGTTCTATGACCTATTGACTAATCAAACGGACTCGTCTCCGCTAGCCAAGTGTAAAGTATTCTTTCCGACCGACCAGTTATCTTTATATATCATAATTTTATAATCAGACCATATCCGCAAACCATCAAACAGCCTATCACGTTCAAACCACCCTACCTGACCTAAAAAAACCTTCTTGTAGTGGACATCAGAGCCTCTCATAGGCTAGCTCAAAGACCCCTTCCTTGCTGACCATCGCGCCTTCCTCAATCGGGACCTCAACATTTTCTCCCTCAGACCTCAGCGGTCCTCCCTCCGCTGACCTCGGCTCTGCTTCAAGGCACGCTGCCAGCCGAT